AAGTAAGTCGCAATTTAACACCCCATTTCACAACCACGTTAACCAATTTAGCCATCGACCCAAGTAAGTCGCACTTTAACACCCCGTTAACCAATTATATGCTCCGCATCCTCCTCAGTGTTCCCCCGAGGGAAGCTGCGGGCAATTTTTTTTTAATTCGAAGCATTTCTTAGTCAACTTCGGTGACTTTGAGCGTATCTATCTATCTATCTATCTATCTATCTATCTATCTATCTATCTATCTATCTATCTATCTATCTATCTATCTATCTATCTATCTATCTATCCGCCTACGACGTTTAGCGCTACTAGCCGTTTGATAATGGTATAGATACGAAACTTGATATGGCATAACATGACTGTATGAAGGATGTATTTCACTTGTCATAACATGAAAATCATGACATATATGTCATGAATGTCATGATTTACATTTCATGGTCCTGAAACTCTTGCGATAGTCTCGTTCACATGGCATGTTGAAAAACTGGTATGGTATGACATGATTGCATGGCGAACACAACTGACAGACCCTAGCATAAAAATCGTGACATGCGCGTCATGTAACAACATGACTACATGCCAGGCTCATGATGCGCTCGCGTCTATTTCGCTAGCGTCAAATATACCAAATTTGGTATTACAGTACGTGAATGGGTGACGAAGGTTTGTGACTGGTGCAAACATGATATTCATGTGATGCATGTCTTGTAACAACATGACTACATGCCATGCTCATGATGTGCTGGCGGCGCTTTCGCTAGCTTCACTTATTCTAAATTTGGTATTACGGGACAAGAATGGATGACGAAGGTATGATACTCGTGCGAACATGATGAACATGAGATGCGTCTGTGTCATGTTACAACATGACTACATGATACGCTCATGATGCGCTCACTGCCGTTTCGCTAGCTTCACAAGTACCAAACTCGGTATTACGCGATGCGAACAGGCGACATAGGTAAATGACGCATCCAAACATGATAATCATGACATGCATGTCATGTAACAACATGACTACATGCCACACTGATGATGCGCTCACGGCCGTTTTGCTAGAAAGACATGCCAAATTTGGTATTACGTGACGCCAATGGATGACGAAGGTATGTGACTGGTGCAAACATGATAATCATGAGATTCGTGTCTTGTGAGAACATGACTACATGGCACAGTCAAGGCGCCATTACATTTCGACGTGAAGTGGTGCGCGTGCTCGCCGGCGTTCGTTTCGTCGCCTCACACCGGCGTTGCAACGCCAGGCACCCGTCCTTCCGTATACTCGCAGGCGCACGCCGCGCTGCGTTGCTTCGACGTTGCCCCACCGCGGTGGTCTAGTGGCTAAGGTACTCGGCTGCTGACCCGCAGGTCGCGGATTCAAATCCCAGCTGCGGCGGCTGTATTTCCGATGGAGGCGGAAATGTCGTAGGCCCGTGTGCTCAGATTTGGGTGCACGTTAAAGAACTCCAGGTGGTCGAAATTTCCGGAGTCCTCCAGTACGGCGTCTCTCATAATCATATAGTGGTTTTGGGAAGTTAAACCCCACATATCAATCAATCAATGCGTTGCTTTGACGCATGCACGTTTCAGCGCATTCGTTGTCCCTCCGTCACGAAAAGAAAGAGATGCAGAGTTGTCTGGGTAACACATCGGCGCAAAATGCAGCATGTCGCATTTTGTGCCGGTTGCCGTCGGGCCGCGCCAACAGACGCTGGTCGCGTATGGCGTCAGACAATAGAGTGCTCGCGTTTCGCTAACGTAGCGTCACTGTGCCCAGCGTGCGTGCACGTCAACGCTACATTGTAGTATATTGGGCCCTTCACGATGCGCTCGCGGCCGTTTTGCTAGCTCCACATATACCAAATTCGGTGGTACGTGACATCAATGGATGAGGAAAGTATATGGCTGGTGCAAACATGATAATCCTCACACGCGTGTCATGTAAGAACATGACAACATACCACGCTCATAGCGTGCTCGTGGCCATTTCGCTATCTCCACATATACAAAATTTGGTATCACCTGACGGTAATAGATGACGAAGGTAAGTGACATGTCCAAACATAATAATCATGACATGAAAGTCATTTACGGCATAATTTATCTCCACCTCGTAACGTTGTGCTGATTTTAAAGTGACATATCCACATTTCTCATTCGTGCTCGCACGTCATAGATTCCCACTTTACGTGGGATATGCCAATTTTTCGAGAGACGTTTCAGAGCACCCAGTCGCTGTTTTTATCTTCAAAAAGCACTGAGATAGGCAGGAGCAGTTCCTGAAGGAAGGTAAACACAGCTGCTTCCGGGACCACGCAAAGCTGTGAAGTGAACGCCGCGCGCGAACGGGCGCCGCACTGGCAGCCAGCACATGCACACGCAAAGCCGCAGGCACAAAGAAAGAAATTGCTCGTGCCAGGCAAACAGCCAACTCAAACTCGTGACGTATGTGTTCTTACACTTCCGCCGCGTTTATGTTGGCGTCGCGAGGGGCTCCACATCTCACTCAGTCCCGTGGCGTTCACATTAAAATTGACATTAAAATAATGTTCCTGGCTACACTTTTGATCTTTCTTAGATCCCGTTTATGTTTCCACATAAATCTCTCTCACTAATCAAGTCGCCTTAAAAATTTCTTGTCAGTGCTCCTTCCGTTCTTGTGGCGTCATGAGGAAATAAGCGTCCACATACGGGGGATACTAATTGTGTATTGTCTCCTGCCCTGCTTTACCATATAACTGCAAGCCCGTTGTGCTTTGTCTCGCATGCACTAGCAACTTGATTTCACTTAACTTTGCCCGTTTTCGACTGTGCAAGCGGATGTAACAGCGTGTGCCTGGGAATCTCGATATCCCAACAGGCTCTGCGCGTAGCGCTGACATTTTCCACCTGTTTTGTCTATAAATAAGTGGCAAAGAGAAGATAATACCTGTAGTAAGGGCAGTGAAGGCGAAAAAGAAAACACTCTCTAATATTGAACTACAATACCTTCAATACTTGCCCAATAGAGCATTTCAGTCTCAGGGATAGTTCTGACGTATATAGCACGCGTTGCCATTCGTGGCATGCACGCAGTGTACTCGCAAACTGATAACATTCGTAGATACTCGAGAAACTTGCAGTACATTCGGTCGTGGTCTGCACAGTTTTAGCCCGTGAAATCTATTCACAAAGAGAGAAAAGATTCGGTATGCGCATCAGCATATTACGTAAGCTCCTAAGCCGATATTGAGGTATACTGGCAAGAAGAAAAAAATCGGCAGATCCAACGTACCTTGGGAATCGATGTTATGTGAAGCACACGGAGGGAAGGTGAATGTAATTAACTTTTTTTGAGCCACACGTTACGATATGACGCTAAAGCAATGCACGATTATTTTACGCACATACGCAAGAGTAACTGTCGCACATGTTTTATATAAACAGTTGTTTACAGTTCCATTACGATGCCAACAGCAACATGGGTATTAGCAGCACCAGAATCGGTGAGAGAGTAGCACTTGTGCTTCTGAGTATGATAGTCTAGGATACTGCTGCATACATCAACTTTAAGTTGATTCGGCAAGTTAATTCGGCTTTACGGCTTTATCAACCTATGTAATGTTTATAAAATTGGGTAGCCAACACTGCAACCACACTAAACCTTTCACGAACATAAAGGGTATATTTGAAAATTCTTTCTGAGACCTGGCGTGGCTCTGTAGCAGAATGCCTAATTGTCACGCATAATGCTTGGTTATATTCCTGCTGGGACCCTGCCATTTTTTTTTGCATTCGTACAGTGAACGCTGCCAATGCCAGCTTTTTCTTAATGTTCTAGCGTTAAAATTACCTGCCTGTTCTCGTCGTTCCTGGGTAGATATGAAGGCTCAATCACCAGCGGCTCGTACTCGCATACCTGTGGCACATATATACCCGCCCGTAGTATACCGGTATGTGCCACACGTGTCTGGTTGAAAGTGTTTGACGACGTGCGCGACGATATTGTCACATTATTGATATCAATACCAGCGAGTCATACTCGTCAAACAATCATAACCTCCTACAATAATTTTGGTTTTCCTCAAGTTAAAGGATGCTCAGGAGAGCACCCAGACGGAGATAGATAGATAGATAGATAGATAGATAGATAGATAGATAGATAGATAGATAGATAGATAGATAGATAGATAGATAGATAGATAGATAGATAGATAGATAGATAGATAGATAGATAGATAGATAGATAGATAGATAGATCTGCCGTATCTTGGCGCCATTCGTCCGGCGAAATTTACTCTGACTTGGTGTGTTGAGTCCGTGGCCCTCTCAGAGAACACTTCACTTAATTTTCACTGACTGGAAAGAACGTAGGCTCTAGGAGACGTCGTCAAAATATGTGACGTCACAGCGAATATGCGGGAACTTCAAGGTGGCGTCGGTACCCACATTTTCTTTTTGTGCGTTTTTTCGCTTAACAAGCATCATCTCGTCGTAAGCATGGCGTTCTTGGTGTCATGAAAGAGCATTTTACTATTGCGAGAAAGATCGTCTTGCTCTTGTGCCCCTTTGAGAACCCCTCTACTCGGTAGGCAAACTGCGTTAGCGTGCCTGATATATATGGCTAGTGTCCAAGATAATGATACTTTTCCATGAGAGTAGCCTTCACGAAGCATCTTACTCTTCTAAAAATGCCATTGTGTGTTAGATATCTGAGATTTTTAGTTCGTATCTCCTGACCAATCTAGAATTACTAGAAGGCAGTAAACACTCGAAAATCCCGGCTTCGTGATACAACTACTGCGCCACTGTACTCAGTCGACAAGGACGCTAGAATCGAAAAGAAGTGCCATTACTGAGATACGAGCTCATGTTTGACGTAACCGACAACGATAACAGAAAATCAATGGCGTTGGCAGACACAGTGTTTGAACATCTCGCAATATCTGATACACCATCCTGTGTTACCTCGCTCTCATGACGCAACAACCGTGAAATCGGTGGAGCCAGCTCTGAAGAAAGCATGACTGATACCACCGAGAACCATAAGAGACACGGCAAACTCACTATAGGCCCAGCATTTTGATACGTGATCGTCAGCATGTCTGTCCTGAGTTTCTTCGTTTTCTACGACTGGCTCTTTCTAGCAATCACTGTTGTTGTCCTGCTCTATCTGTGAGTACTTCAACTGTTCTTCACGGCATTCTAGTAACGCTTGTAGATCCGTAGGATAGAAAACTGATATTGCGTTTGGTTAGCCTCCCTGCCTTCCCATACTTTTCCTCTTCGTTCCTCGCAGAGCTGGGCAAAAGCGCAAGAAAGACGTCAAAACCTTCAGATAATGGGCGCTATAACAATGCGATCCGCAAAACATTCGCGTTCAGCTTTTTCCGAGAAAGATTAGGGCTGCATAAGCGGCACTTGCTTGAAGCGGCCACTGCAGCCCAATCACTAGGGCCCGTCATTACTACAGTTTCATTTGTAAAAGAAAAACCTGCTCACTAACTGACTTCGTGTGACTGCACGAGATCTTCTGCTGCTGAGAACTTCTGAGAAATTTAGCTCTTTCATATATACAAACAGCTGGAAGATTCGCTAATGCTTATAAAACAACAATACAAAACAATAAATATTGCGGTTTAATGTCTCTAAATCACCATATGATTATGAGAGACAACGTAGTGGAAGGTTCCGGAAGTTATGACCATCTGAGGTTCTTTAACTTGCACCTATATAAATCTAAGCAAGATGGGCCTCAAGCACTTCCAACTCCATAAAAAATGCGGCCGCCGTGGCCGGGATTCGATCTCGCGACCTGTGGATGAGCAGCCGAATGCCTTATAGCCACCATACCACCGAAGCTATGGGTTTTCGTACAATTAACACGATTGCGTCATCCATCAGACGACTGCTATCCGGCCTGTATCGCTACGCCATTTTTAAGAAACCTATTTCCTCTATTTCCAGTTCAATGTATATCACCAGTTCTGTGCACAACTCTGGCCTTTTCTGTATTACATTGAAGCTCGTATCTTACATAAGAAAGCGTAGATTCAATATTATGACCCCCCTCCTGGGGAAGTTCACCAGCTGTTAGCAAAACTCTGTGCCATCGTATCTTTCACGCAGTCGAGCGAGTCGCCACCGCAACTACTGGAAGAACCAGAATGTGGTGCACGAGAAGTTTTCCCTCTTCTTTGGATCTCAGATGAAACAGCTATACAAGGTGAGTAAATATCGCGCTTTTTATGAGTATTCCTGAAATCTTAACGTCTACCTTATTATTTTTTTTTTTTGCAGCCACTTCATGTTGTAGATCAGGAACTCTACAGAAAGCATGGGCGCCTATTTGGGTAAACACCGCTTCATACTATTTCCCGTTTCGTTTGACACGCGAAAACAACCTGATTGGACACATGAAAAGTACCCAAGTCTTTAATTCGAGATGTTTGCGTGCGTATTCTGAACAGGTCCTTTGAGGATGGGAAGCCGATACTTTACGTTGCGGAGCCTGACCTGCTGAAGTTAATTCTTGTAAAAGATGGAGGATTGACTGAAAGAAAAGTAAGTTACCCAACCTTTCTTTTCTAAAAGAACAGGGTTCTGACCCAAAGACAAGCTCGCGCACGTTCGTCATGATGTTTTAGTCAACTAGGAAAAAAGCTGTTTCTCATTAAATTAAGTCACACTTTAGCATCGTTTGTGAGCTGTAGATCACGTTTGAACAGGTATACACAATAGAGCAGAAAAAGACATCTTGAGGTTTTACAAGTGAAAAAAAAAGAAAGTAACCTTGCATATTCTTTTCCTTTTCATCTCTCGGGGAAATTAGCCGACATTTATTTCAGCATTGCGTTAAGGACATCTTGTTGCTGAACTGCGAAGCAAATCATTGCTGTTTCGTGGGCACATATGTGCAGAACGTATGATGAAAGCCGGAACACATTAAGATGCTGCACTTCTTTGACATTATGTGCAGCATTTCTTCGTCCGTGGTTTTACCGTGAGTCCCGTCAAACATTGTTGAAGATTCTGTTGGCACTTCAAAGCCATATATAATCGTCATTCAGCGTTTAAAAAAAACTGTGTCTGCGGATTTCGGGGAAGTATGCACAACTAAACTGATTCAAATCATGTTGCAGCAGTTTGTTTGAGATAAGAGGACTAATAGTGGTTCTATATTCATCTTCTAATGGCTTCAACGAGAGCGAAAAATGACACACATGACAGAATGGCACATACGAAAGCTGTTCCAGTGTACTTCTTTGCCATGTGTAGTTTCGCGCAAACGCTAACACCAAGTATTTTAGCTTGTTTGCATTCATGTGTGCAGCTCTTTGTCCATGATTTTATTTTTAAGAGCACTTCGAGATAGTTACATTACAAATAAAGAAGCCTATGCTCATGCGAGGTTAGAAAACAGTTTTGGAGACAGGGTTTTAAGGCTATAATGTAAAAGAGCTTGTTTGGCGGAAATTCTGGCGTCGGCGTTGGCGTCGTTGGTTGTGAATGAGAAAATCATCATCTTGACCATCACCGAAAACTGTAGAAAGATGGAAATAAAGTAAATAAAAAATATCGGGGTCCAAGTGAAGATCAAGCCCAGGTCCTATGCGTGGCAAGCATATGTGCCACAACGTCACGAGATTTGTTGAAAGTGCTTTGAACAAAAAAAAAAAAACGCTTAAGAATGTGATGTGCAGTGAAACAAGCCTTCTTAATGCAGTAAGGTCGAAATATACTCATATAAAAATAATATTTTATGTTAACTTCTCTTAAGTAATAGTGCTAATGACCACTATTTGTAAGGGAAAGTTGTTACCGAAGCTTTGTTTGAGTGATTATTCTTTCCTTAAGAGATACTTCGTGCCCATGTGAGCCTCCAAAGCAACGATATCGAAGTGCAGCCTATGTGGCTCATTGGCTGATGCTCCTGTTTTATGGCGTTTTTTATCTACGTAAAGTTATTCATGACAGTGGCTGCATAATATGCAACAGATCGCTGCGCACTTTTTTTTCACGTCCTCTGTACTGGCGCGAGTGTTTTCGTGATTCGACATCGTCTTCATTTCTGTTCTTTCTCAAAAACTGTTCACGAGCACGACCTTGAGTCGTAGCTAAAATATTCCTTTCTTTCACCTCTTTTTTTTTGGGGGGGGGGGGGGGGGGGGGGGGCGTGTTGGGGAATGGAAGAGTCAAAGTCCTTTACGTATGATCGTGCGTGTTTGCGCGTGCACGTGTATGCATACATCTGCAAAATTGAAAATTTTGAAAGGTGGGCGAAGGCGTGTTCTGAGCCTCCCCGTGTCCCCTGGCCACCGCACTGCCACCAGTGAAACAGCTTTCATTCGTGTGTTAGCTCTATCAAACATCTAAGGGTGCGAATAGATCGTGTCGTTTTCTCTTTGTCTTATGCCGCAGATAGTCAAGGTCGATGACCCGGTGATGAGAAATACAATGCTGAACGTTCCACCTGAGAAGTGGAAGAAGATTCGTACAGCGACATCACCTGCTTTTACGTCAGGGAAACTGCGGAAAGTGAGTTCTCGCTCATCGTCATCTTGGCTCATACAGGTTTATAGTCTCAGCGGGGAAAAGACACTCACAAAAGGTTGTACTAAATGATAATCATTAGCGCAGCTGTAGATCAGTGTTGTCACGGCTGCTGATTTATCAGTAGATCTACTGATCTTTACGCTTTTGTGCTGACTAAGTGATGGAGGGTCCGAATCTACTTACCTTCGGTTCTTTCGACAGAAGCGATCGCAAAGGCTGCTTTATCAGGGTCGAGCTTTATTTAGTGTTATGACGGAAAAAAACAAGAGGGAAATTCGTTAGTTCGTTCAAATGACACTGCAAATGCTAGGTATGCGTTAGCGAGTGTATTTTTCAAACTGAACAGCTTGGACAACTGAATAGCAGAGGAAAAAAGTATTTTTTTTCCTATGTATTCCTGTATTACATTTTTTGCCATTTCTTCCCTTCGCTCTGTCAAGCCTTACAGCTCAATTGGAGGGCTACCTATCAGTGGAATTTGCAGGGGTGAATAAGCACTCAACAATCTTAGAGCTCTAAACCAGCATCTTAGTTGGTGTTTGCGGTGAGAGGTACTCTTGCAGAAAATCCACTCTAACATTTTTGGAATCGCATTGATATTTCGCAAGAAGTTTACTGCACTTGTGTGAGTAAATGAAGCTTCCTTCGACCACAGCTAGACTACTGTTTCTCCGTGCTACACTCCCTTGCTCTTCCTCTCTGCCACTTCTCTCTCTCTTAGAGATCAGCAAAACATGCTCACAGGTGGGAGATTCATGCAGTGCTTTTTGAAAAGCCTTTATGGACTCCGAGGCACTCTCCCTAAAAAGTGGCCTGCCAGTGGTGGTCTAGTGGCTAAGGTACTCAGCTGCTGACCCGCAGCTCACGGGATCAAATCCCGGCTGCGGCGGCTGCATTTCCGATGGAGGCGGAAATGATGTAGGCCTGTGCGCTCATATTTGGGTGCACGTTAAAGAACCTCAGGTGGTCGACACTTCTGGAGTCCTCCACTACGGTGTCTCTCATAATCATATTGTGGTTTTGGCATGTTAAACCCCACATATCAATTAATCTCCCTGGAAAGTGGAGAGGGAAAAGGATGTAGAGGGAGAAACTCGCTTTATGCACGGAAGTCGATGGGAAAACGTTGCAACATGATTGGGACATTGACAACGTGGTGTATAGTTTCGAGAAATAAAGCATGCAAAGACGTGAGATCAACAAACGGCAAAGAATATATTGTAACTTAATAATTCTCGGCGTTTAACGTCCCAAAACCTTTACATGATTATGAGAGACGCTGTAGTGGAGGGCTCCAGCACTTTTAACTACCTGGGTTTTTAACCTGCAATAAATCGGAGCACTCATGATGTAAAACAATCTTTTGTATGCACGTACAGAGAACGGGTAAATATGGGGAGAACTGCCTCTTCTCCGCTTACTTTTTATTGTGTACTTCCAAGATCAGGTTCCAAGAAGAAGATCGCTTAGGGCCTTTATTGATCACCATGCACGTCTCATGAGATGATCCTCTCCCGAAAAAATCCTGTGCCCGCCCCTACTTGTAGGTGACAATGCCAAACTCTCAATCCGCCTGTCTTGTTCAGAAGGTAGCCCACTGTGTCTGTTTTCACGCCTGCAACACTAAAGCTTCAACGTGATGAGTGCCATCAGAAACCTTAGGGACACCAGCACTCTCGGAGTCATTATTTTGACTTATTCCTGAAAAGTATAGTCATCTACGGCATATTACTAATACCAGCGCAAAAACTAAGCACAAGGGCTAAAATTTACTATCTATTGAATTATACTGATATTCAATGAGAAAATCTACTACCGTATTTTTATGTGTTGTATATAGCAACACTGCTGTAGACGCATGAGCTCATACGTGCAACCACTCCGAGCCCATGAACACATTGGAATTTCGACATTTTGTCAGTGCTGCTTGCGATCATTGCGGCAGCGATGAAACGATAAAGCACGTTCTCTGTCACTGCACTCATTACAGCGTGCATGGACAGCCGCTAGCTTCTGCGTTAGCCCGCCTTGACGACAGACCCTAGTAAAAACAGTCAGTGCTCGAAAGCCGACATGATCTGTCTTCGCACAGAAAGTCAGTGAAGGCCTTATTCAAATTTTTCCGTGGTAGTGACCTGTTGAATAAGCTATAGCACCCCCGCTCACTTTTTTTTCTTTTTCGCGAGTCTATCTTGATCCTCGCTTTCTGTCTCATTTTTCCCCATTCCCCTTTCATTATTGCAGGGTAGCAAACCGGATGCCCAATTTCTGGTTAACGGTTAACCTCCCTGCATTTCCCTAATTTTATTCTCTCTCTCTCGACATTTCGTACTATAACGTACTGTCCTCGTGACACTTAATGCCCTCAACTGTCTGGGAGAACAGGGCACTTCACCTGCGCACTTCCAGTTCTTTAGGTGAAAAGCCTAGATGCCTTGTCCAATGCGCGAATTGACCATAGAGACGTTACCCTGTGACGTCTCCATGGCGTCTTAAGTCGCTGTAATGGGCATTTTTCGTAATCAAGCAGTACCTCTAGTCGAGATCACTGAAATCGAAACTGCTGGCCTTTGGCCTCCGATATTGTACACCGCGCGCCGGTAGTCATCTCGGAGTTCTGTATTCACGCCATTCTTCGGGCGAAGCGTTTTTCTCTGGGGGAAACACACGGGCAGAAGCCACGAGGCTTGACATCTGGGAGCTCGGGTTTTGCTCATGCAGCTTACGCTGGAGCCAGTGCCGACCGTCTTGTAGATTTATATGTAGACGTTGGTCCTAGACTTCTAACTCACACCCACCCAGGGGGATTGGCCAAGAATCGGGTAGCTTAGAAAAAACTTTGAATCATACAAAAAAGAGTAACTTCTCGTTTTGTACAACAATAAGATTTTTGTGCGAACTCTGCCCGTTGGTCTCCTCTTCGTTTCTGCACAGAAATTTACCCGGGGAATTAGCCGCGCACTTGAAAAAGGCAAATTTTCTATCACACCGACGCACGACTAGGCAGTGGCATTCATGGTTATGCAATGATTTACCATTTTCATTTATTTTTATCTCCTCCTCATACTCGCTTCCTTTTGCCGCACCCTTGCTAACATATACGGTACATGGATATGCTGTACATAAATGTGCTATGTGTACATTGTTTTGTCCGCGTGACTCCAAGGGACGACATGTACACGAAATACCGGCAGATGACAGATGAGAGCATATACCGCTAAAGTGCTCAACTCTTAGAATGCTGCTTTAAAATCATTCTTCAATTCACTTTTCACAGCCCCATTTAGCGGACCGTTTTGGTGCTAAAACTGTCTGATATTTCCAGCCGCCGCTGATGAGGTGATATATCCTGTTACAACAGACTGGCACCTGTACTTGCGAACTGTTTTAACATAAATACTTCTATTAATTGATGCGGGCCCGCTGTGTTTCAAGTTTGCTCCGTGACTTCTGTTGTTTTCAGATGCAAGCCGTCATAGATAGTTGCGCCAAATTCACCTCGGAGCGTCTCAAGAAAGCCGCGAGTGCGTCAGAAGACGTCGACATGAAAGGGTGAGATGTTCGTACAAAACATGTCTTCGATTCACACAACAACCCTATGTATCTTACGCGTTTGCGACTCCATGCGTGCATGACCGCGCGTGCTTTTGTGCATGCGTGCTAATTTTCTGTTGTCTACGCCTGTTAGCGGATAAGTGAAGCCTCAAATTCATTCATACATGGTAGGTTTGTTGTATGCAGTTGGACTGGTCGTCACTTTCCACAGCGAAGTCTGTTATGACATCGCAAAATCCGCAGATTTTTGTGAGGTTGTTGTGAGGTTTTTGTGAGGTTGTTGTGAGGTAATTGTCCGCCACCGCCGATGTCGGAATGCGAAAAAAAATATACTAGATCAGATGACATTATGTGTGGTCACGGCAGAACTTAAATTCCCTTCACTAAAAAACCGTCATCTGGAGCAGGAAATCGCGTTAGTCGATGTTATAAAGCCCGGCAGAAGAGTAAAATAACAAGGCGCCACAGAATGCGAATTCACTCACGAGTGGGTCGTTTAAAGCTTCCAACCCATTACAAAAAGCTCAGTCACAATTCTTCATCGACATCAGCCGCTGCATCAACAAAGTGAGCATATTGTGTGTGGCGGGCGCCTCGTTTCTCCAGAAAATAAGACATTCAAGGTAGCTGGTGATTCCCTACTTCACACAAAAAAAGTATGTTGACTCATGGCAGGGGTCCCAAGTACACGACTCGTGGGCATGTGGCTTTACGATTGGGAACAAAAAGTACGTGACAATGACAATGACACTCGCACTATTTACTCACCTCTTGCAATTAATAATGCTTTTGTCTGGTAAGCCACAAGGAATATATTTTTGTCGTAGACACCCCACGTGGTCATTACATGCTGAGTAATAACCGCGGAACAAAATCTTTGTACTTCGCAATCAAGGTCTAGATTTGAGTCATTCTGCAGGTCGGTATCGACATGTACATCGATTCCTCACGCTAAATTCATCCAGTTTAGGCGACCGTTTATTGAACGCCCCTTCCCCCTTTCCCTTGATTTTGACGACCTTCTTCACTGTCCCCGCCCTTGCTGGAACGAAATGTCGTGCTAGAGACCTGCTATAGCTGATGTGTTTGATACTCTGATTTATGACTTGCAAATGTATTTGTATCAGTTGCCCAAAGGGAGTCGACAGGGGGCTCTTTCAGCTTTCGCTGAGACTCTGCTGCGTGTTCCGCGAAAACCTGGCGTTTTTCATCTTCATTTCTCTCAAAAGGTTCTATGGCCACTTCACCCTGGACGCCGTGGCAAGCTGTTCCTTCGGTGTCAAGCTATCTCCGAATTCTCCAGAACAGGGATCTTTTATTAGGAGCGCGAGAAACGTGTTTTTCGCGGAAGTGACACCATCTGTGGTACTAAGCGGTGAGTGATGCCACTTTTTGTTATACTGCCTAGTATGATGCATGCATTTGTCTGGATGCCTTCGGTCCATCCGTTCTTTCATGCATGGAAAATCTTGCCGTAATGATGTGGTGGTCATATAAACATATTTGGGACCACAGAGATGAGTGGCAAGGTTAGGTGATTCTGCTTGTTTTCAGCATTAGTCGTTCTTTGCTTTCAGCATTAATTCAAAGACTTGGCCATACGTTCCGTAAGCGTGTTTTCAACGAAAAAGCGTTTGATTTCTACAAGAATGCGACAATAAACATAATCAAAAAGCGTGAAGAAAGCAAAATTGTGAGTACCCTTTGTCTCTCTATTTCCCTCTCTTTAAAGGTACGAAGCATTTAAAAAAAATGCAGCACTAATCATGCATTGTATTGAGTGCCATGGTGTCCCTGGTACCAAGGTTTTCGATAGAAAATACCTGTTGTCGATAGCAGTACTGAAGTATGTGTGACATTCTAGTGGCAATGTAAAACGTTTTTCGTGCTTTTTATATACCAGTATTTTATTTAGAACAAGTAGTGAGATCAAAACAGGACCTCGAGCATTGCGCAGCGCTGACAGTGCCAAATGAGTAGTTATCAATTTCAATCAACTTGTAACACGAATAATCCAAGTGTTACTATCATTTCCACAGACCGTTCAAGCAACGCCTGGCTTGTTGGTGTGGTTCTCACCAGACACGTTGGAATCAGTTAAGCTACGTGCATACGCAGGCGTGCGCAGAGTTCCTCATTAGTGGGGTACAAGGTAGGACATTGTGGGATCACAGCGCCTCCCCGTCTTGTTGGTAGAGTCCATAAGACAACGAGTTTCACAATGAACGAAAAAAGAAATGAAAGTGAAACAATGCCCTGATTGTCACAATGGCTTGCTTTCGGTCCCTGGCGTTTAGGTAGTAAACCTGGGAGGCAAACAATTAGTGTAATGAAACAGCAGAGGCTTTGAATCGCCATTGTCGTAAAGAACCTGCGTGGCCATAACCCTGCTAGTACACTGAAACCTTGATATAACGAACCCATATATAGCGAAACGTCAGTCACAACTAAGTAAACACAGAATATTCTTGCAATAGATACGGTGTTACAAATATATCTGTGTGATAAGTTTTTAGATAAAATTAACTTATTTTTGTGTAAGATTCAAATTTGTTATATTGATGATTGAGTGTAAAAAATGGGGCAGACATCATGTCACACCTTGTGTGAGTGGCCGCTTCCCCCCCCCCCCCCCACTGCCTAGCCACCACTTGTGAATGTATATTCTCTCTCCTCGTGGCATCTAACGCCCTTCTCGCTTTATAGCACTATTTGCGGCCTGTAAACGCGCGCCTATGCATGCATTTAAATTAATAAAACATTTAAAATAACAAATAAAATTAGATTGATTTCAAGGCAGTGTCAGAAAGCACATACTTATTTATCCAATTCACTTATGTTTTATGTCGTTATACTAACAGCAACATGAGGATTTCTTGCAAATGATGCTGAATGCCAAAGAAGTGGCGAAACACACTTTGGCGTCTGAAGAGAAAACCATGTCTAACTCAGATTGGGAAATATCTGCGCAGAAACACCAGGACGTTAAAAGTGAGTATACTTCGTTTGGGATCTTTCTGCACACTGAACGTACTCCATTATTCTTATTAGCAAGTAGCTGTTGTCAAACTGTAGGAGGGGATCGGGATTAAAGCTTCGGCTGCGGTACTTGTCAGGGAAGGAGCTGATTTCCTTAGCAACTGAAAATTTATCTGTACTTAGCTCGTTCAAATTACCGTGTTGAGGAGTGCAGTTTCCACCATAAAGAAGAGAACTGCCATGACGGAATAATCGGCTCCCACATCGTTTTGGCTCGAACCTTGTTGGCTTCAGGCATTCATGTACTGTAGACTTTACACTTTTTTGTAGCCCTAGTTTAACTTTCTTATTGAGTACCTTGGAGTCTTCCAAGATGAAATCAACCTGTCCTGTTCGTGTAACTATATGCGGGCATAACAACGTTATTCTCGCATCATGATTAAGCATTTGCAATAAAATATGCTTCGCATCATGTCTAAATAAGGCTGTGCGATTGCCTTAGAGTACGAAGATTGCCCTATCGGCGCCAAATAAAACGCAAACAGCGGCAAGCCTCAGCAATGATATAGTGCGCACACTACGGTCATCGCCATTGACATGCGCGCGCAACCAGTTTAGCCACACTGAGCATATGAGTGCCTGTCCTCGGGGATGTCTGGACATCCTGCACTATGCCGTTGCGAACGCTTGTTGTTGTTCACGTTTCATTTGACACCGGTAGTACACTCGGTCAGTACAGCTGGTATAAGTAGGCGTAGTTTGATCTAAGTTTGTTGTATTTTCCTTAAGACTTGACCGAAGATGAGGCGTTGGCGCAGTGCGTCTTGTTCTTCTTGGCTGGCCAGGACACGGCCTCAACCACGGCGTCATACGCATCTTACCTGCTGGCAATTAACCCCCACGCACAGGAAAGACTACGAGCCGAAATCGACGATTGTGTCCGGAAACACGTGAGTTATGCCGTTCAAAACTTTCATTCTCCAATTCTCACATTGCAGATTTATAGAGCAATTTTCAAATAAATACAGACACATGTTGGATTGTGTCGTCTAGTGCCACATGGGCGTGCTGCCGCTATCCATTAAGAAATGAAGCAGCTTAGTATATGAGCAGATGCAGGCTATAGTATCATACGGCTTTACCGTTCATAGATTGTTTCACACTTCGAGTTTTTCTTCATGTTTTTTCGCAAGTCAGCCTATAGTAGAAAAAGAAACTGCTTGTTTTAAACGAAACTAGTTCAATTGTAGAAAAGATGCTACTGGTTCGCAGGCAGGGCTAAATAACGAAAAAAGAAATGATATTGCAAGGTTTTTTCAATCGGGGTGCTTTAGAAGATATTGTCTTATGCTGCAATTATGCCCGATGTTTGTGCTTTCACTTCATATGCATTGCGCTTCAATGGGCCTCAGTTTTCAGGTGGTAGTTGTTCATGACGACATGTTGACGCTTCCTAATTGATTCATTAAGATAGCAAAGGATGCATAAGTAAACCCACGGTAATTGTGTGCCAGGATGTCCTTGTACTTACTTTCCGATTGAGCTTTTTCATGGAGCAGGCGTTTATTACGAAGAGTACGTCAACGTCTAGTCTATGTGGATTTTGGGGTACTCGGGGCGGCTCGGGTTCACGTCGGCTTTGAATGGGGTCACATCGCGTCTAAAGAAACGTAGACGGCTTGGGGAGCATGGTGAATGAGCGTGCGCGTTCGCGCTTGCCTGGGCATGGCATGTTGCTGTGGGACACAGTGCACCGTGAAAAATTGCGCATTTTTCCTTCCGATTTTCACTCATTGAGAGTGAGCGTGTCTTTCTTCCACTTCGCAGGGCAGCTCGCCATCTTACGACGTCATTTCGAAACTTCCGTACTTGGATTGTGTCGTGAACGAAACTCTCCGAGTAATGTCACCAGGTGTAAGGTGAAGATTTTGCCTAATTTAGGCCATTCCCTTTCATACATTAATTTTGGAGCAATACGAGGTACAGTCTAGTTTATCCGGCGCTTCCTTGAGTGTGATTGCGCGTGAATTTAATGCGCTATAAACACTTCACTTGTTCGCGTTATCAACGTTCCTTTCGCCCTCACCGACAGGATCGACAGAGTATTTCACGAGGATTACATGCTCGGTGAAACTGGTATCAAGTTATCCAAGGATTGCATTGTAATAATACCGATCTACTCACTTCATCACGACCCGGAGTTCTTCCCAGAGCCGGAAGTTTTTAACCCTGACAGGTAAGCATCTAGCCTTCACCACTCTATTGCTCCTTCTAATGCATGCGGTATTGTAGAACAGATATAACATATTGCGTTCGCCGTCAGATGAGCGTGTCTTGTATAAAGTTTTTGGCTGTTGTCTGAAGACCTCAGTTTAAGAAGACGCGTCGTTCTCTCGTTTTTATGAGACGCGGTGGCACTGCTTTACAAGTAAACTGACACTTTGCATCTGATGCGGGTGTACGGAAAAACGGAGCCAATTTTTGATCTACCATGTACTGTATCTTAGGTAAGAAAATGGTACAGCGTATTTTTGGGTAGTCCAATTTCGAAACTGTGATTTTTAGAGAAAAAAGAAAAAGAGTTTGGTGGAAAGCCATATAGAAAAAAAAAAACAATCACTGTCAAAGCTATGCGTAAAAATGGTTCATCATAACCGTTGTTTATCAGCAGCTGAATTTTATAGAAGTGTCTTCTGCTGCAGCTTTTGCTTTTTTAAACAAATTGACTTAAGGGAGGCGTGCTTCAAAGTTCGCCCGCTTGCTGTAGTTGGCTTAGAGCATGGTAAAACACCTGAAATGTTTTATGGGTAAAAATTAATGCTACGGCGGTTATTATCTCTAACTATATGTGCTGTCAATACCTGACGAGAATAACCGAGTACGGTAGCATTTCTTTGTTATATATAGTTTCAACGCACTCAAGGGCCTCCACATTTTCCCAACTTCTATCAATATACGGCTTTGCAGTTGTAACAGGGGGTGAATTTGACGCTCTTAATGTTCGACGTTGCCAGCGCTATATTTCAGGGTTCATTATTTCGTTTATTTTTCTTGCTGCCACCATTGGCTAACAGATTCAGCGAAGAAAATATTGACTCCATTCGCCCGTACACCTTCTTGCCATTTGGTGCTGGACCTCGCAACTGCATTGGGTCGAGGTTTGCGTTACAGCTTGTGAAGACCTGTCTTTTCCACGCCATTCACAGCGTCCAGTTTGTGAAGTGTCCTCAAACGAAGGTAAGGTATCTCTAGCATTTAGTGTGTTTCGTTCGATGACAACGGGGGCAAGACGCATGCTTATTTCGACGCAATAATGAAGTCACAAAAAGACTTGGTTCGCTAGCTGCAACTTCGAGATAATATATTCCCTTGCAAGCCTCTTTGTGAAAGTAACTAGTTGCTAAATGTAGTGCCTTGTGTTAGAGTGGCTCGTCGGCTTCAAAAGTGGTACCTTGTTTCAGTCTCTTTTCTGCTGACCCACAAGAGGACCTCAAGCGGATATTCACGGCGATGACGACTTTAGTTTGTAGCGCCTCAATGCGCCGCTCATCAAGGAAGAAGAAGTTGGCATTTGGGCCGCACGAAAAAAAAAACTGAACGCTGTCAGGGCTGGATCTTTCCCGTGTTAGCTCCGACAGTTAATGGTGACCCGATAAAGAAAACACAGCCCCGATCATCCCGCATGGATCCCGCCGGCTCTGCCACCAATCCTACCGGTCCTGACGCCCAAGAAGACGCCAGACCTAGCGGTGCTGCAGTCGCTGCGATTCAACATGTCAACCTGCCACCATTTTGGCCCAACAGCCCCAGCACATGGTTTCTGCAGGTCGAGGCGCACTTCCGTCTATGGCAAATCACCAGCCAACAGACCAGGCACTGGCATCTGGTATCCTGCTTACCTCCGGACGTAGCCGACGACTTAGCTGATATTTTAGCGTCGCCGCACCCGAGCCATCCCTACGACACGTTGAAGGCAGCTATCATTTCCCGCAAGTCTGAGTCCGAACACAGCAGACTCCAACAGCTCATCACGGCTACAGAGCTCGGTGACCGTCGCCCATCACAGCTCCTGCGACGCATGCGCCAGCTCCTTGGCGGCCCCTCCGCTCCTCAAGAGGAGAAGCTGTTACGTGAGTTGTTCCTCCAGCGCTTACCGCAGAGCATGGTCCCGGTCCTCGTAGCTGCAGGAGACACACTCGCTGAAATGGCTGACCGAGTGGCGGACTACTCGCGGGCACATAGCCTCAACGCCGTTACCACACCGCCACCGGCCACCGCTGCAGACCCGGCCCTCGCGAGCATCGAGAACCGTTTGGACGCCCTTGTCAGGCGCCTCGATGACTTTGTACCTGCGCATCGTCGACCGTCATCCAGGTTCCAGATACACAGTCGCTCCTCGACGCCCCCACGTTCTCCGGAACTTCGGCCACCCGACGCGCCGCGGGACGTTTCATCCTCAACCGTGTGCTGGTACCACCGCCGATTCGGTGCCTCTGCTCGCAAGTGCACTCGCCCGTGCTCCTCGTCGGGAAATGCGATGACCGGCCACTGACGGCGGCAAGTGGTACTGGTCGAAAGTCATGCCGCCTTTTCTATGTTTCTGATAAGATCACTGGCGCTTGCTTCCTAGTCGACACAGGAGCCCAGGTTAGCGTCATCCCGGCCTCGTGTGCAGATCGCCGTCGCAACGAACAGACCTGCCCACTCCAAGCGATCAACAATTCCGCCATTCGAACATACGGCAAACGCTCTCTTACACTTGATCTTGGACTACGCCTTACGTTCCGCTGGATTTTCATCCTCGCTGACGTCTCGCAAGCTGTTCTTGGAGCTGACTTCCTCAGTTTTTTCAACCTTGCTGTGGATATGCATGCTCATCGCCTCATTGATCTCAACACCCGCCTCTCCATCAACGGTGTACTCTCTACTTCCTCGCCAAGGGGACTGCGAGCTCTCACACCTGCTTCGCCGTATGCAAAAATACTCGACGACTTTCCCAGCATCACGAAGCCGCACACCAGAGTCACTAGTGAAGCATTCCATCACTCACCACATTGTGACCACTGGACCTCCCGTTTTTACACGACCCCGTCGACTATCTGGAGAACGCCTCGCCATCGCCCGCCGCGAGTTTGAGCACATGCTTGAACTCGGCATTGTGCGGCCTTCCTCCAGCAACTGGGCGTCGCCACTCCACATGGTGCCGAAGAAATATCCTGGCGACTGGAGACCATGTGGGGATTACCGCGCCCTCAATGCCCACACCTTACCAGACCGCTATCCACTTCCTCACATACAGGATTTCACATCAAATTTGGCTGGGTGCACAATCTTCTCTAAGATTGACTTCGTGAAGGCTTACCATCAGATTCCTGTAGAACCCGCCGACATTCCGAAGACGGCCATCACCACCCCATTCGGTCTGTTTGAATATGTGAGGATGCCTTTTGGATGGCGCAACTCTTCACAGACCTTTCAGCGCACTATCAACGAGGTCACGCGAGGTCTCGATTTCGTATTTGCCTACCTTGATGACCTCCTTGTAGCAAGCTCATCCGGCCCTGAGCATGAAGCCCATCTGCGCACCCTGTTCCACCGCCTGGATGATTACGGCCTCGTAATTGATCCCGATAAGTGCCTCTTCGTCGCTACAATAGAGTTCCTAGGCCACCTTGTCACTCCAAAGGGTATCCAACCAATCGCCAGCAAAGTGAAGGCTATTCAAGACTTTCCACCCCCGACTTCACTCAAAAGACTCCGAGAATTTCTGGGCCTACTAAACTTCTATCGCCGCTTTCTTCCAAAGTGCGCCACATTCCTAAAGCCCTTGACCGACCTATTGGCTAAAAAGAAAGACCCGGCTGCGCCACTGGAGTGGCCCAAGGACGCTGCATCTGCCTTCGGCACTGCCAAGAAGGCTCTGGCAGACGCTACCATGCTCATACATCCCGTCCCTGATGCCCCAATTCGTCTCATCACCGATGCATCAAGCGTGGCAGTGGGGCGCCGTTCTCGAGCAGCACGTATCCGGTTTGCAGCCCCTTGGGTTTTTCTCGCAAAAACTGAAGCCACCAGAGGCAAAATACAGTACATTTGCCCGAGAACACCTCGTGGTATACCTCGCCATCAAACATTTTCGTCATTTATTGGAGGGCCGGGACTTTTACGTCGTTACAGACTGCAAGCCCCTGACGTTTGCCTTCCATCGCAATCACAGAAATTATACTGCACGGGAGATCCGTCAACTATGCTTTATTTCCGAGTTCACTGTGGATCTCAGACACGTACATGGGCCGGAAAATGCTGCTGCTGATGCACTATCCCGCATCGATGCCTTGTCGACCCAGCCACCACTAGACAAGGAAGAGCTAGCAGCTGCCCAAAGCAACGATCCTGAGCTGCATCGTCTTCGCTCTTCATCCACGTCTCTGTCGTTCACGGAGTGCCCGCTTCCATTATCTACCTCATTAATAACGTGCGGAACGTCTACTGGTGTCCCTCTGCCCTTCGTGCCTTCACCTTTTCGTCGTGCAATTTTTGATCAATTGCACAACATGAGCCATCCTGGTATTCGTGCGACCCAGAAGCTAGTCACATCTCGTTTCCTTTGGCCAAGCATCAACGCTGATGTCCGACGCTGGGCGCGAACCTGCCTTGAGAGCCAGCGCGTTAAAGTTCACCGTCACACTGTCACAGCAACATCCCCGTTTCGGCCTCCAGACGCAAGGTTTTCTCACGTCCATCTCGACATCGTCGGTCCTCTTCCGTCATCGCAAGGAGCCTGTTACCTGCTGACATGTGTGGATCGCTTCACCAGATGGCCGGAAGCGTTTCCCATTTCCGACATTACAGCACCAACAGTTGCCAAGGCTTTCACAAACGGCTGGGTGTCGCGCTTTGGATGCCCTTCTGTCGTCACCACTGATCGCGGTCGTCAGTTTCAATCCGCCCTTTTCACCGCACTTGCCAATATCCTGGGCATTCGACACATCCACACAACTGCCTACCATCCTTCCGCCAATGGTATGGTCGAACGGCTTCATCGACAACTGAAAGCTGCCCTCACTGCTCACCAGCCAAGGGAACGTTGGCTCGACCACCTGCCCTTCGTACTTCTGGGCGTCCGATCAGCATTGAAAGTGGATCTCGGCTGCTCATCAGCCGAACTAGTCTATGGAGTTTCCCTGCATCTTCCAGGAGAATTCTTCGAGCCATCTTCGCCACCTTCCACTCACGATGCCTCCACGTACAATCGAGAGCTGCGCACCACGTTTCGGGACCTTGCTCCTGTGATTCCTGCCGACCTACACCCCAGTCTGTCTTCGTCAGTCAGGATCTGCATGACTGCAGTCACGTCTTCGTTCGGCGTGACCAAATACGGCCACCACTAACACCAGCCTATGATGGCCCATTCCGCGTACTCCATCGTACACCTAAGACGTTCACGCTGGATATCAATGGCCGTGAAGACGTCGTGGCTGCTGATCGACTCAAACCTGCATATATTGCCGCTCTCGCGGCCGCGGGGTTTCAATCTAAAGCCTGGATGCCAACATCCAAGCATGTCTACTGGGCGACTCCTCTGGTGATTCCTACGGCTCTCGCTCTACAGGGGGGGGGGGGGGGGGGAGCCCTGTAGAGCCTCAATGCGCCGCTCGTCAAGGAAGAAGAAGTTGGCATTTTGGCCGCGCGGCGGGTGCAGCGCGAAAAAAAAAAACTGAACGCTGTCAGGGCTGGATCTTTTCCGTGTTAGCTCCGACAAGTTTCTTATGCCTTACATATGAACTCGGAAGAAGAGGAAATGCTATGACCATCGCGAATACGTTGCTTAGCAGCCGATTCACTACGTGCTTGCGCCATGGAACTAGGAAATTCAAAATATACAGTCTTAAATCTTGCATTAAGTTTTCGAAAAAATTGCACCTTACAGATCGCATAACTGTATCTTCAAAAGACATAACGGTGTTAACATGGCGAATCAGAGGGCGAGGTAAAACAGAGTCCTGTAATATTTTAGTACATGATAATACTAGCGGCGTTGATTCATGGTTAACGCAGGCCTAATAATTGTAAAGTCTTTTTTTCTGCCAAGGAAACATATCACAGGTTAATGCCTTCAGGTAGTGCGTGTTCTCAGACTAGCAGAAAAAATACTACCTCATTACTGGGTATGCCTATGAATCGGTAACAAGACACCTGTTTCAATGTGGTGTTCCATTCTCCAACTTTCGGTTCGTTTGGCCTGGCTATGGCGCTTGCTCTGGCTAGAAGAATAGACTTGATGCAAGTTTACCGCTCTCTCCAGAGCGTCTGTCTTTTTTTTTTCTAGCTTGTTTGTTTGGTTGAGTGTGGTGCTTACCTCAGAGTGGCAACCTTTAAATTGCACTTATTTTGGGTATCTATTTACATATCTTGCATGCTTGAGCATTAAAAAAACGCATAGAGTACAAAAGTCTTCATGCGAACTGTTTATTTGTTTTGTTTCCTGTGTCGCGTTTTACCTCGTCCGCGCCTCTTTTCGGTGCCTTTGTTGCTTCATAATGAATTGCCACCGACTGACCACAGTTTCTCTTTCAGCGCATTCAATAGATAACACCGAACAGGGACGCGGGTAGTAGAATGAACTTCACATTCATTGGTAACACGCTTTAGTAAACAAGTTTTGAAACATGTGGGCATAATCCTTGAACGACGTTTGTACAAGTTGTCTTTTTATCATCGAAGCAGAACACCCGCCACGGGGTTTTTGTGGTTACGGTGTTCGGCTACTCAGAATCAAATTTCGTGGGCATTTTCGATGGTGGCAAAAACACTTGGGGCCCATGTGCATAAATTTAGGTTCACGCTAATGAATACCAGATGGTCGAACTTTACTGCAACTTTACTGTGCTCTCCACTTCAATCACTTTTATATTCAAAGCAGAGCACCTGGCAGTTTAAAGCCAGCGCTGGCTTTAAGACCCCAATGCTTGTAGGAAACTCCGACTCCAGCGAATACGCTGTTTCTGAAATTTCCAATCTTTTCAGGTCTACATATTCTCTTGAACTGTTATCTTGTTTCGATTTGAACAATTTTTGTGTGATGTATTTATGTTACGATGACTATGCAGGTCCCTCTGGAGTACCGTGCAGGGTATGGTTTATTGCACCCCTGAGGACTTGGTTGTAGGAGTCCGAGAGAGGAGCAGTTAGTATGCACGGCTCACCACACTATGGCCCCTTCGGCCCTGGTGGTGTCAATTCACACAACCAGACAACATTTCTTTAAGCACCTTGGAAATTAAACCAGCACTGACATGCACTGACATGAAAACTTGAGGCATAGTATACTCATCTGGGGCCACGAAGACGAAGATTGACTGAAGTCTTGGTGAAGCCTAGGCTGCTTCAGCTGAGACGGGTAAGAGCCACTTTCGAGACGACGTGCCGAAGCTGTTTCACTGAGTATCGCATTGAAAAATAAGACGTCGGTTCCAATTTGTGCACTATATAGTGAATGTCAGGAATAAAGAACTCATTGTTCTTAGTTCACAACCACTGAGCCCTGATGACCTAGTTTGACCCATGTTCAGAAATTAATTTATACAAGCACCACTAGCTAAGTTTTTGTTTGTGGTCTTCTGAAGTATTGGCTATTAGGAAAACACCCACAAAAAGACACCGACCAAAATAAAAAATCCAGGGCTGAAAAGGTGAGAACGATGAACACACAAGACTTGTCATTTAGTGCCACACATTTTTTTTTCTCAAAGAACCCGAGTAAAAGAACCTCCTGCGCATGCACTGGCAATGATCCTCTAAAAATATATCGGGATACCACTTCATCATCGTTATCACCCTGACTGCGCCCGCTGAATGCCTGTCATGATTGTCCAGCTAACTCGGTTGTGTGCTTGCTGCGACGATGTTACCCCGCAAGCTTCTCATTCTCACCTGTCCATCTAACTTTCAGCCTTCCCCTCACAATCTTTATTAAATCAAGGAGTGCAATTTAAGTATGACTAATAATGCAGAATATACATATGTTTTCTTACAATGCGAGTAAATGGACTTTTTTTACGTTTGAATAATTATAACATTTCATTGATTTTGTAAAATAATATTAGAAGTTGCATCAGGATGGTGGAAGTGGTTGAGAACACTATTGGAGGAGGCTGGCATTTGGGGATAACTTTTGTGGCTTTGAAGGCCTTGTTTTTTGGTTTATTGCACCCTGAGGACTTGCACCCAATTCCTGAAGCGCCTGGGGCAGTGAGGCGACTTCTGATTGCCTTCTTGGGAGACACCAGCCTTAAGAACTCTGAGCTACGCCAAGCCATCAATGCATTAAAAGCACAGGGGAAACAGTTGCCGGATTTGTATGCCATTTCCCCCGCCTGGTGCAACACCATGATCATCGCCGGAAACACTCGATACGTATAAGTTGACACAGGGTGAAAGCGCAAAAAAAAAACGAAGACAGCAATGAGGCTTGTACACACGAGTGGTCGCTTACGATAGGAGACTACTCCGCAGCTGCTCCGCGCTTATGTCTAAACCATGTTCATGCATTCCAGCGTGATCAGCAGGCACACACTAGCCCAAGGAAGCGTTCCTGCGAGCTCGTTCAGTTGCGTGCTGCACGCGTATGACTCCCTCTACCTACACTCTTCTTTTCTTTAATTTCACTTGCAAAAGGTCTACTAGTGGTCCCCGATACATTCATGTCTAAGAACCACTGCACGACAACATGATGCAAATAACAGTTTTTTTTTCAGCCAATACTTCTGTTCTGCGTGGAATAATGCAACTAACACTCCCGTGCCCACGTTATTGAAGGATATCGGTGTCGTACTGCATTATATGTCGCTGTTTCTATTCGCTTTTCGACCTACTTCAAGTATGATGTGGCATTCATTCTCTGTTTTATTCATGGGGCTTAACGTCCGCAAACCACGATATTGTTATGAGGAATGCCTGAATGAAGGGCTCGGGAAAATTTAGACTTCCAGGGGCACGTTACCATGCACTCAAATATAAGTACACGGGATTCTACCATTTCGCTTCTGTCAGAATGCGGCCGCCACGGCTGAGGTTCCACCGCGCCACTTTAAGGAAGACAGTCGACCACCATAACCACTACACCACTGTCTTATTTTTGTCTTCATGTGCTTGTTACTGTTGGTATACTGAAGTGAAAGAAATGGAAGCCTTTGTTTACTCATGGCTTGGCGCTTTCAACACATAGCTTATCTGCTCTTAGTATCTTCCTCTTGAGCTGTGCATCTACCACAATACAGAAATTTAAAAGCAAAATCAAATTACGAACCTCAAGTGGAAGAGCAGACTGAATAAGCAGGTCAGTTGAACGTACGAGAGCGAAGTACAAAGACACCACTGGCAGTGCAACTATATCGGTGGCAAGTAACATGGAAACTTTTTTTCCGGGGGGTTGGAGGGATTGGGATTCAAACACGTTTTTTGTAAGCTGCGTGAAAAGTTGGGTAAGTTGGCAAAAGTTTATCATATTTGAACTACGTGGTGAGATGATGCAGGAAGAAAGAAGCTCAGACAAACAAGTGCAATACCTGCGCTTGTTTGTATAAGCTTCTATCTTCGTGTATCGTCCTGCTGCTCAGTACGAATATGAAGATACTTGGTGTATGTTCGTGCGTTTGCTGCCATTGGCGGCGACCACAGTCCACAGTTGTCGAAATTGTGCTCACTCATTAAAAAGTGGGTGATTTAGTGCAGAGTGCAGCATGGTACAGAAAGAGGAGACTGAATAAGCAAGTCAGTCAAACGTACAAGTGTGAAGTACAATAATAACGCTGGCAGTACAACTATTTCGATTGATATGTGGGGTTTAACGTCCCAAAACCACCTTATAATTATGAGAGACGCCGTGGTAGAGGGCTCCGGAAATTCCTACCACCTGGTGTTCTTTAACGTGCACCCAAATCTGAGCACACGGGCCTACATTATTTCCGCATCCATCGGAAATGCAGCCGCCGCAGCCGGGATTCAATCCCGCGACCTGTGGAGTACAAGTATTTCGGCGGCAGAGAATATCTGCCTTATCCATGGTTCTAGCATATATGCACCGGCATGTACCCATACGTTCATTCCATACACTCAGGGCGCACGCAATTCGGCAAGAGCATCGGGACACCGTCAGCGAAGTTGAGATGCGTTCAGTAGTCGAGGGTTGCGCTCGGCTATAGCAGTTTTAGCAGGCGAACGCTCGTCGCATTAGAAAAGAACTTGAGCACGTGTGTCGAAATACGACGCAAGCTTTTGCGTTCACGCTGAAGAAGCATAGCCGCAAAAGTGTCCATCTAAAGCAAGGTGTTTACACGGTAAACCCACACATTCTGCAAAGCTATACGCAATGTTTGCGCAGTGTTTCGACAGTCAAACCACAGAGAATACCCAAAAAAGTATGCAAACTCAACTGCCTCCAGTTTTTTTTTTTTCACACATCATGAGAATCTTGAGTTTTTTTTTTTATCTATAAAAGAACAGCAGGACATGGGCACATACAGTATAAGGCCATGCTGCGTCACCTATGCGTACCTTCTGAAGTGCTTGCTTGCTGCTTGACGGATAACATCATGCCTCGTTTATTTAAGAAACTTGACACATTTTTTTCGGCCCATCATAGCCTTACAGAATATAAACAACTTGATACTTGCAACATAAATTTTCACTCAAGAACCTTGCTTCTCGGGATACCAACAGATCTTGTCTGAGCGAGTGAGTAGCTAGGGTAGATAAGTATACTTGGTCGTTAAAGAAGCCCCTTTAAAGTATGCTACTCTTCCAAACGACCCGTTGCCGGCGAGATAGCCGAAATCATCAGTTCATGTTTGCTAATTAGTTCACACTTATCGAAAGGCAGTAAACACTTGAAAACCCCTGCCTCGTGGTACATAAACTGCGCAACTGGATGATATCGATACGGAGCCGAGAATCGATAAGAAATGGCATGACAGAGATACGGGCGCACGTTTGCCGTCGCTTACGATGATAACGGGAAACCTACAGCGTGGATGACTTCCAACGTTTCGTGATATATAACAGCTGGTCCATTTTATGCCGCTGTCATAACTGAAGAACCCTCGCATTGGCTAAACCGGCTCTGGCGAAAGGAAACCAGCAGATGCGAAACGCCAAGCTTGATAGTGTAAAATATTTTGATCCGTGAGCAACACCGTCGGCATGTCCTTCTTCAGCTTCCTCGTTTTTTACGACTGGCTGTTTTTAGCAATCACCATTGCTGTTCTTCTCTATCTGTGAGTACTTCAACTGCTCTTGACGGCACTCTACTAATGCGTGTAAGCCGATGAGGAAGCACAAAACAGCTGTAAAAACCACGCGACAAATGATAACGCGCGTTTGAAGAATGGGAATCACAGAGCAGTTTGTAGCTTGCTGTCTTCGTTGAAGATAATGGATGCATAAGCTGCACCGGCTGGGAAGCGAGATCTGGAGAACAAGTGTATTTATAAAAATTGATGTATAGTGAAGAAAGTATACTCGTGTCTTGAAAACTTGCTCGGATCATTTCAATCTCTAAGCCAGATAAGATGCCCTTGAGCCTTGAATCTCTCCGCCCAATGAGTCTGAGAATATGTTTATGCAAGGTGATAAAAAATATAGTTCATGCACGACTTCAGTGGTGATGCAAAAGAATGAATGTATTATTCACTTCTTAACAGGCTTTAGAAAACGGCTATGTACGTCTGACAGATGTAGTAAAGGATATTGATTGATTTGTGGGGTTTAACGTCCCAAAACCACCATATGATTATAAGAGACGCCGTAGTGGAGGGCTCCGGAAATTTCGACCACCTGGGGTTCTTTAACGTGCACCCAAATCTGAGCACACGGGCCTACAACATTTCCGCCTCCATCGGAAATGCAGCCGCCGCAGCCGGGATTCGAACCCGCGACCTGCGGGTCAGCAGCCGAGTACCTTAGCCACTAGACAGTAAAGGATATAGGAACATATTTGGGACATGAACACTCCTGTGGAAACTTAACGATCATAAGGCTCTTTGACGTCAAAGTTGCATTTGACACCGTCAGACGCACTCATATGCTTTTTTGTTAGACCTCAGAATGTCCGGCAAGCCTTTGCTGTGGGTCTCTAAATATTTATTAGGTTGCAAAATATTGATTCATACGAGCGAAGTAAGGCATGCCGACATGATGTCAGGCAATGAGTGTCACAGGTCAGCCTATTTAGCCTCTCTCTTTTCGACCGTGTCATGGCCGATTCAAAAAGGCTGCCTTCTCAGTTATGATTCTCTCTATATGCAGGCGATGTGTGCATTTGGACATCTGGCACTAATGTTAAGTGGGCACAGATATTATTAACCACTTTTTTAAGCGATAGACAGGTGATTCTATCATAGGCAAAGACAGCTGTGCCACCTTCATTCCATAGAAAGTTAGAAAAATTAAGTCTTGCACGTTAGAGAACACCGGATGGCTGAACATTTACGTGCTCTCCCCTAGGGCGTGGTGCATAATCATATGGTGCTTTTGGGGTCTTAAAACTCCAGATATTAAATATTTTCCGTCTTGATTGAGAAGTAAAACCACTAATGTTTGTGACTCAGCGTCTATTTCTCGAAGTAATATTGGATCGGTAGGTATATCCTGGACACCTCGCATGAAAGTACTCGAAAGTGAGGTAAATACTTTAGCGAATTGACTGTGCAGACTTGCTGGTACATTACGAGACGGATAAGTGTGATGCGTGCTTATACTCTTGGCAGTGGTTTAATACAACAAAAAATTGCATGCTCTGCAGCCATGTTACGCGGCCTTCGGAAGCTCGAGCAATCATACGGTGGTCGAGGCGTGTAGAACTCCAAACAATATTATCGATGAAACACCCGGGCTCCAACGGTGATAAAACAAAAAGACAAAGTAGCCAGCTCGACAGCACCCGCTGTAGTTGCACGTGCGAGCTGCCCTTCACTTACAGCACTTGGCACAACCAACTGCCTTGCGGCAATGTCAGCTGCGATCCAATGGCGGTGTGCCAAGGCCAGAAACACCTGGACGAAAGAAACGAGATATAAGGGAGAGGTGATAAGACACGTATCCCGCAATGCAATCGCTTTTTGTGCTGGAGTAAACGGTGACACCGCAGCAGTTATCGGGCCACTCGCAACGCTAGTTTGTGATGAGTTTTGCGGGGAGCGTTGAAGTCTTCGCACCTCGATAGTGCACGAGATAAGTCTTGCGGGCAATTAATAGATAGCTATCATTGAGGTTTTGATTCTTTCCTTCTGTCACTGATGCCCGCACGTAATCTAAGCGGAAATGACAGCATGCCCTAGTTTACTTCAACCGGTTTCCCGCGCACATGGGGTATATTGCAACTATCAACACCAACAGCCGTAAAACCAGCAGCCGCAATGCCAACAGCCAAAGACTAACCGGCATCCCGCCAACCATAACGAGCGCGCCCACCTCGTCGCGAGGCAACTTACCCGCTGCGACACAGCCACCCCGGTAGCAGCCGCCATCGTGGTTGGGAGGAGCACCGGCCGAGGCACGGTGGTGGCCACAGGCACTGGTACCGCCGCAATTACCACCCACACCACCTCCGTTGCTGCGGCAACTGAAGTTGGTGCAGAAGAGGCAAGGCGACAAGGGTGCGCCGACTATTATGCAGAAGAGTTTCCTGCCACGTTCCACGACGTGCTTGGCCGCAATCCCACGTGCGCCTGGACAGGTCGCAGACGGTGGACCTAAGAAGGCTGCAGACAGGCACGTTCACCAACCCTTATCATCTGCGCCGCCTGTGGCCCACGCTGCACCCGTCGCCTGGCTACCTGTGGTGCGCGCATGAACGGGCCGATATGGCAGATATACCTTGGCAATGCGCGAGAAACGAAGATATACCACGAGAAGGGACGACGCCAACTGAGAGACCATCCGAAATGAGGCGCCTTGCTGAGCGATGGCAAGCCGCCCTTCTCATCGAGGTCCTTGAAGACAAGGTGTGGGCCGTCCAGCGAGCCAGGGTTGCCACCAAGCACCTCGGAAGATGTTCCTCGAACGATGTGTCACTGGCAGCTTAGTCCCGGGCACAGCAACAACCGCCGGACAAATGAAGTTCATTCAACTCAACTCAACTAGTTTAAATAGACTTCAGTCTGTTACTTTGTCGCATTTAAAGCTTTCCGCATATTCGGAAGTTCTGTTTCGTTCTAACCAAATTTGTCGAGCTGCCATCTTTGTATCTACAATATTCCTAAAAATGTTTCTACATCTGTTACGTCAATGTTAGTCTTTATTATTTGTCACCAATCACGATAACTTGTCTTATTTTGAGGTAAAAAAGTGATCACCTTTTGTGCTTGATATCTTGATTTTTACCCTAAAAGTTGGGTTTTCTATGTCCTTTATCATTTCTCCAACTAAAATACAATGTAATCTGTGTACCAGAAGTTTGACACAGTTCTTCCTCTGATTGCCATTGTTGCATCTCTCGCTGCCTAATAACAGGCCGACTTCATATTTTGTTTATAACTTGAGTAAATATCAAAAAAATAGTACGTTCCCGCCTGACATTTTTTTTTACTTCAAAAAATATTGTTTTAGCAGCACTTGTCGTAACGAGCACTTCGTTTGCAGTGTCAGAGTTCGTGAGCAAAGGCATGAGAACTGTTTGAAAATTTACTTCATGTGGGCATTTTTATAGACATGCGCTTCGCCTGTACATCATCATCGTCGTCGTCGTCATCATCATCATCATCACCATCATCATCATCATCATGTGTTTGGTTATATTCCGCGCATATCCGGGTATACGCGGATTCGCATGGGGTGATTTGAATAAAAAGGCGTGTGTTCTTTGCAAATCTGCTTAGTCCAGCATATGTACACGGCGCGATATCTAGAACCACGACATTTACAGAACCCTGCCTCCTCTACCGCATTCGCTGATTCCATGCGGGGTCCTAACATATGCTGTATTATATCGATCCGTGCTTTTGTGTATAATAGAACGATGATTGTATATTTCGAACATTCTTTTATTGCGATGAAAATTCATCGGTCAAAACATACTAGATTTAAGCGAAACTGAATTTCATCGTATATTTCGCACAGGCGAGCGAGCCGCCACCGTAACTACTGGAGGAACCAGAATGTTGTGCACGAGAAGTTCTCCCTCTTTTTTGGTTCTCAGATAAAGCATCTGTACAAGGTGAGTAAATATCGTCTCTCACATAAGCATCTTCTGATTTTCCCACTTCAATTTTTTTTCTTCTACAGCCGCTTCACGTTGTAGATGACGAACTTTACAGGAAGCACGGGCGACTGTTTGGGTAAGCATGGTTCCATACTTTTTCAGTTTTGTTTGAAACGCCTGATAACGTGATTAATCAAACAAGGCGCACCCTCTTGTTCATATGAGGCGCCTGCTCGTTCTTTGCAAACAGGTCCTTCGAAGATGGAAAACCGGTACTTTACGTTGCTGAACCTGAGCTACTCAAGTCGATCCTCGTTAAGGATGCCGCTTTGACTCAGAGAAAGGCAAGTGCCAGCAGGCTTTCTTTTCTAGAACAATTTTTCATTAGTAAATAACAGCTAAGCGGCTCAGTGGGCCAGCGGACCCAGCGCAGGAGCGGAAGGGGCAGCGGAGCGCAAGACAAGATACCGAGTAATAGCTGAGCGATGCGCCGCTTGTTTCAGCAAAGTCACGGCACTGTATATGCCACCTCTAGGTAACAAAGTAGCGCATTTGTTTTCCAACGCCGCTAGCAACCATACACTGCGGACAAGCTGGTGCACAGGCCCGACCGCTGAAAGCTGTCGCCGTCCACCTGGAATCTATCTGCCGTGCGCTCTGTAGCTCGCTAGCTACGAAACGTTGCTTTTATTTGCTTCAGATTCATTCCCTTAAGCTTCGACCGCAAACTATTTGCATGCGTTCGGCGCTATTTTCGAAAAAAAAAAATACTGAAATAATCAATGCTGTGGGCTTAGTGGGGCGCCCTTCAAATCTCGGAGGACGTATATTTTGTGCTTGAGAGTTGTTGCTTATCTTCCACAGCTGGCGCCACTTGACCATGCGGCCGCGGTGAGGCCTGTTATTCGGCTTTCGGCGCTACGCTATGCCTTTGCGTTTTTCGTTGCTGGACAGACTAAAAAAAAAAAATGCTTTTGAACTACCGTGGAACGGTCCCGAAAGCAGGTGTTTCATCTTTCTTTGCCGGTCGTTGACAAGCCAGGCACGTCGACTGGTAATCGTTGACGCGCTTCGTCGATCGCCGACAGGCTTAAGCAAGTCGCCTGCAAGATCAGAGCGCGGCTGGCTTCATCGCGTCCTTATTCTTACACCGTGGCCGCGTTACAGTGTACACTCTAGCCGCGTAACTGAGGTTGCTAACCATGCAAGATGGCGGTCCTATGCGCTACTCTGGGAGCCTATTCAGGTATTCAATGGCGGAGCGCATTGCAGCGCCACCGGTCGAACAAGGTTGAAGTCACTGTCAATCGGCCAGAGGCGTTGCGTGGAAAACGCTCGCACGCTCGTCCGCTGCGCACGCTTCAGAAGACGAAATGAGTAGGACTGTGGATAGCACCGTAAAAACGCGGGTTGCGACAGCGTGGGAGCATACGCAGTTGGCATCTCGCTCGCTGGGCCCGCTGAGTCGCTTTGCTATTACTCTCTAATACCAAGCACACTCCTGAGCACGTGCTTCACGAAAGCTGTTACCAATACACTGCAACAAAGTTGTAATAAATAGCCATAAAAAGAGCTGCTCGATGGCTTGCGCCTTCGAGTTATCGCAGGCGAAAGCGTAAGAGTCTCTGGGAGTCGCGTGTCTCTCCTCCATCAAGAATCCATGTGTGCACGTACATAAAGCACTGCTTGCTATATATCTGTCTTTTACTGCAGGTTGTGGAGTTCGATGACCCAATATTGAGTAACCTTATGGTGAACGTTCCACCTCAGCAGTGGAAAAAGCTTCGAACAGCAACATCTCCGGCCTTTACATCGGGAAAACTTCGAAAAGTGAGTAATCACTTACTGGAGTCACAGCCAAAATGGCTATCTTTGCAGCACCGCAGGGTCCTCTGGAAACATGGCAATAAATGTTACTGTATAACGCAGGCGCAAAAGCACGAGCACGTTTCTTCAATAATTTGAACCGCCTGCTTATGAACATATGAGCACTGCCTAATTGCATAAAAAATAAGAAATAATTCACAGCATATCCACGGAGTGAATGACGATGAGTGGAGCGAAGCGTCCGTTCGTCCGTGCATCCGCCCGTCTGTCCGTCCGTGCATTCATTCTTCCATGCGTCCGTCGGTACGTATGCCTGAGCACTCGTTCGTTCGTGCGTCCGTCCGTGCGTCCATTCGTGCTTCCGTCCATGCTTCCATCCAACCCTGCGTCGTCTGTCTGTCTGCTTGTTCCTCTGTCAGTATATCTGTCTTAATGCTTGTCTGTCTGTCTCGCGACGAGCACGAGCCTCCGCGGCCTTCCGCGCCCGCCGCTCCGCTTCTCGCATGCCCCACGAATGATCCGACATGAATGGCGACGATCCAGGACACTGGGAGAAACACTCGTTCCCCTCGCACCCAGGCACAGCCTGCGCTGCACCCAGTAGGAGAGTAGCGGTACACCGCCATCTAGAATATTCTCACTCACCGGCAGTTTTTATGTTCTTCTATGAGACAGCCCCATCTATTATACTGTTCGGTAGATACTGCCGGTTACGCCTGACGTGGGACAAGGTGAGACTAACAGGAGTTTCGCTCCTAAAATGCAGCTTCCACTGAATCGTGGTATGCTGTGGTACAGCAGAACTGGCCAGCACTCGGCAAGGCCTGGCTCTACTCTACACACGAGCATTCGCGCACCAATCCACCAAGCGCTCACGCGGTCACATCGTAAAGGACGAATATTA